AGGGGGCTGAATAATTTTGCACGCCCAATTTTTCAGTTTTTTTATTTGTTAAAAAAGTTTGAAATATCCAATAAATTTCGTTCCACTTCATGATTGTGTCCCACTTGTTGTTGATTCTTCACAAAAAAATACAGTTTTATATCTTTATGTTTGAAGCCTGAAATGTGGCAAAAGGTCGCAAAGTTCAAGGGGGCCGAATACTTTCGCAAGGCACTGTACATGGGGAGGTGGTGGAGCAAGTGGATAACATCAAGTTCCTGGGCATCCACATCACATCTGACCTGACCTGGTCTCTGAACACATCCTACCTGGTGAAGAAAGCCCAGCAAAAGCTTTTCTTCCTCAGGAAGCTGAAACATACTGGTCTCTCCTCTCAGTTGCTCGCAAACTTCTACAGAGCGACAGTAAAGAGCATCCTCTGTCTCAGTGTGACAGTGTGGTACGGGAGCTGCACTGCACAGGACAGAAATGACTTGACCCTGGTGGTGAGAACAGCTCAGGGCATTGTAGAGAGTCCTCTTCCTGGATCTGGACTCACTATACACTGACCAGATCCAGAGGAGGGCCAGACGGATTGCTGCAGACCCCACCCACCCAGGCAACAGTCTGTGCCTCTTCCCTCCAGGAAAAGGTACAGGAGTATAAAGACTAAAACAGACTTAGACACAGCTTCTTCCTTAGAGCTGTGAAATCAATCACCCCCCTAACTCCTAGTCACACACACAACCTCCCCCCATGGACAGACACAGAACACTGGACCTCTGCAGACACACACCCATGCTCACACCTCTTCTTAAAGACTGAGATTTGCACTGATCTGCACCTTATAATGTTACTACACTCTTGCTGCTAACATGCTGCTGACCTGATTAGGTCCCATACATCCCTTTTTATTTGTTCATATTTTTATATTGACTTATACAATTGTGTGTTATGTAAATAATGTGTCTGTCTTTTAAGCCGAGAGCTGCCAGAAAAAATTTCGTTGTACTATGTGTAATGACAATGAAGATTCTTGACTTGACTTGAATACATATGTCTTTTTTACATTTTCTGGGAATACAAAAGGCTTCAAGGAGTGCTTTTCCAGTCTCCCCAATCACTCACTCACTCATGCAGATACTGTTCTGTACATAAAAATGTGTATCTACTGATGTTATTCAAACATGTTCAGACATGTTCTTTTTTTACCAATTATATGCTGCTAGCCATGCAGTAACATCTGTGTTGGATAATGCAACACCTGCATCGGGTCTGCTGGTTCTCAACATTTGTGTTTTTTTTTAATCCATTTTTAACCCATACTGTACTTACATAGTTGGAATTTGAATGTTGGCGTCCCTGTCAAGGTGATAGGCCACCTGGAGGGGTGTGGAGCCATTCACCTTCCTCACACCTTTCATAGGAGTCACATCCAGCTGGCATCCGGCGTAAAAACATGCCAAATTTAAACATGCGAATCATCAGTGTGAATTCCATACCGGATCGGTCGAGGCCCGGGTTAACAACAACCGCCACCAGTGCTGTTGACCTACAGGGTGCTGGCGGAAATTGGACTACTGTTGGTCAAAGAAGGAGAGGAGGTAGAAGGGTTCATAGACAGAGAGAGAAGAGGAAAGGCAGGAGTATAGGTCTGCGAACAGGGACTCTTAACGTTGGCACAATGACGGGAATAAGGAAACATGGTGGTGGAACGAGGAAGTACAGGACAGCATTCAGAGGAAGAGGCTAGCTAAAAAGAAGTGGGACGTAGAAAGGACTGAAGACAGTAGACAGGATTACAAGAAATTGCAGCGTAGAGTGAAGAGGGAGGTGGCAATGGCCAAACAGAAAGCATATGATGAGTTGTATGCCAGGTTAGACACGAGGGAAGGTGAGAAGGACTTGTACAGATTAGCGAGACAGAGA